TGCCTCTCATCAGGTTAACCGGGACAGCAGAGCCGGCGTCGAGTCAGCAGCAGCTCGCCTTAGGACGTCCAGTCAGCAGCAGCTCGCCTTAGGGCGTCCAGTCAGCAGCAGCCAGCAGCGAGCCAGCTGTTATACACATACATGTTACATGCTGGCGGAGGTATGCACTCTCCGTGAGTGCCCTCTGTCTAGTTTTACATGTGAGAGCTCTACCAGAACCGAGATTACTGCAGCTTAGGTTTGATGACATTATACATCAGCTTAGAGGGAGGCGATAGAATAGCAGCCATCTTTGGCTGTGTTCGGGTATTTTGGCAGTGAAACCCCGATTTTACGCGCCCCAATTTAACGCGAATTCAGATATAGCGCGATGAGTCATTGGATATTTTTTTGCTATTTCCGGAACTGAAGTTTTTTGGTGAGTTAAGCCGGGCTTAGGTCGAAACGACGACTGCCTAAAGATCGCGCAACTAAATGAGTTTACATGACTTGTTGCTGTGGGGGGTCAGTTTATACGCTGATTTTCTTGAACCCCGATTTAGCGCGACCCCGCGTATTTTCGTGACGACGTTTTACGGATCCCAACGATCGCGTTATAATGGGGCCACACTGTATCAACACTGTACTTGTCTTGCAGGATCTGAAGGATGAGAAAAGGAGAGCGCAGATGGGTGTCGCGAGGAGTGTGCTGGAGAAAGGAACCATGATGCTGCTAACTTCCTGTAAGGTATGCCATCACCATGGTTACGCTGTAGGTCGGGTCGAGTTCTTAATAACTTAATCATGGTTCGCACAGTCCTTGAAAAGTCCTTGAATTTGAGGGGAGTCCTTGAAAAGTACTGGAATTTTGTAAATGTTGATTTTGTGCTTGAAAAGTGCTTGAATTTCATGAAAATGTCCTTGAATTTTTAGAAAGAATCCTTGCTTGTAATAAAAAGAAATTTTGTACCATCACTATTAACTTTTAATACAACCTAACAGAACTATCAAGCTGCTGTATAGTTACCCAATTGTGTTCTTAAAGTTCCTAAGTTGATGATGTTTTAGTAATGAAACAATGACTTTGATTATAACTACCTGTTTTGCCAAGTCTAAGGCGAAGTCATTGAGAGCTGTTAAAGCCATATTTACGAGAATTTGCTAGTGTTTTCTGCCACTTTTATGATATCTACCATTATTGCTTGAGTAACAGCAACTGTCTAGAGAAACGGTAAAATGTATTAGAACCTTTGTATTCACCCAAACATGCAAGTTCGATTACCACCGCCTTTTCTTGTAATCTTGGACCAGTTAGTAGCGCCAGCTATCGTTCATAGACTTACACGTCTCTCACACAATCTCGTTTGCACCAACAAATTACAAGTTGACACATTTAACAAATCTCGTGACTCGATGTTATTTTCTTTGTATTACGAATCAGTGTGTTCACATCCAATTTTCTATTCTATAACTGCATAAAATCTTAGTGCTTTTCAAGTTGGTGTAATCAGTGATATATCCGCTGCAAGGGTAGACTATATTTCCATATATTTATTTGGATTGAGCATTTCTGAGCAAAAATCTCGTAATAACAACTTTAAGGAGGTACTTTATCATAGTAGGCAACGCGGGGCTATGATGGCGTTACGTTGGCAGCTGACTGACGCGTGTGATTACCAGGGTGCGAAATTAACGCGAGTCTGGATTCAAATACTCCCTGATTTACTGTCTGACTCCCTGATTTAACATATATGCAGGAGTTCGTGTGACTCCCTGAATATTCTGCTATACTAACTAGTTCGTTCCAGAGCACGGTCTCACGGAATTGCCATATTTTTTTCAGCAAATGTCCAAAGACATTTTGGCAGACGTGCAACCGCATGAATCTTCAAAATAAGCACATGCATTATTGTTAGTATCATTAGTTTTGAACTTCAGACTGCAGACTCCCTCATTTTGCTGCGGACTCCCTCTTTTTGAGGGCAGGGAGTCCGCTGGACTCCCTCATTTTGCTGCGAACTCCCTCTTTTTGAGGGCAGGGAGTCCGCTGGACTCCCTCATTTTGCTGCGAACTCCCTCTTTTTGAGGGCAGGGAGTCCGCTGGACTCCCTCATTTTGCTGCGAACTCCCTCTTTTTGAGGGCAGGGAGTCCGCTGGACTCCCTCATTTTGCTGCGAACTCCCTCTTTTTGAGGGCAGGGAGTCCGCTGGACTCCCTCATTTTGCTGCGAACTCCCTCTTTTTGAGGGCAGGGAGTCCGCTGGACTCCCTC